TTATTGGATCTTTACATCCAATATTTTTTTTAAGAAAGGACAGTGTGAGTTATATTGTAGTCAATGTTCGTTCATATGTATGGATATTAGTGTTAAAATAAGATAAGCCAATCTCAGAGCGAACCACTGCGTTGTGGTTGCGTGTATAGTCACATATATCGAAGCAATCATCTATCTCCTGTAGAGTGGGAGAAAAAATTATCGAAGAGCTCATTGGTGCTTTCAGAAATTCTTTTTTCACACGACTCTCTAATTTTAATATATAGTTATATCAAATAATGCATCACGCTATTCAGCCTCTACTTCGTCGTCTATTGACGACATATCCTATTTTCCATATTATAGTTTTAAGAAATATCAGAACGTTTGATTTCAAACTCTGAAATAATAATTTCATATAATACTTCTTCAGAAACTTTTTATAAAACTATATTAACTTTTATATTAACAAAATATAAATAATTTATATAAATATTATTATATTATAAATATTATTTATATATAATTTATATAAATAATAAATATTTTAATTCACTTTTGACTGATTTGAATTTTGGAGAAATAAAATTATATTTTAAGAGATTTTCCAAACTTAATTTGTACACGGATCCAAAGCCTTTTTAGGAGAGTACACAATTGTACTCTCTAAATATGAATTAGCGAAATTTCACTAATTCCCCAGCGATAAGTATATCACTGATTCAATTAGCGTATATACGCTGTGAATTAGTGAAATTTCACTGCTTAATTAGAAATTTCGCTAATTCATATTTAGAGAGTACAATTGCATAGCGTTTCATTGCCACTGTACAAGACTTTAACGCGAATAGCAAAATTAAATAATTTTTTATTATACATGAAAGGAATACGATTCTCTCGTTTAATAAGGGCATATTGCTTTTGTAATAGGGAAGAGTGGGGGTGAGTAGAGATGTGCGAATTAGGAATTTAGGTCTCGAATCGAATCGAATCCGATAAAATTACTTTGAATCGAATCTTATAAAAAAATTTCGAATCGAATCTAAAGGCGATTCGAATTCCAATTTATTTCGAATCAATGTATTGTTAAATAAAGTAATATTGATCGAGAAGACGACTTATAACGTATAATAAGTGAAATTTCACATATTCAGATTTAGAGAGTAACTACAGTTGATTTGAAATCTTCGAATAGTTCGAATTCAAACTATTGGCACATCTCTAGGGGTGAGTTTGCCCAAAAACAGTTTAAATTAAAAAAATGTTACTTATTGTTAATTTGAAACCAAACAAAGCATTTTATACTAAAAAGAGAACCTTTGAACCGCTTTGAAAATAAAATGAGATATAGGGGAGACTGGGGTAAACCCGTTCACTTTTTTTCAGACCGGTTAAAATCTAGGAAATTATTCTCTAAATCCAAGTTAATTTATATCATTTGAAAGCTTATGATTTCTACTAAAAAAATAAAAAAGAGTTTTTAATTTATCTTTTTTAGTTTTACTTAGAGAAACTTTTTAACACACATATACCAAATTTCGAAATCACAATTTTCCAGGGTAAATCCGCTCACTTTATCTTTTCAAGAATTGCATAGAAATCTACCACCAATAATGAAAAATCGACTAAAATAAAAAAATAGCAGATGTTTCAATAATTTTTGTCAAAATACACTATGTTTTTCAGTATTTTTCTAGTCTGCAAAAATGTTTTTTTTAATTTTTTTACCATTTTCTGGTAAATTGTCACACAGGACATTCTAACAAACAAAACGAGTTATCATTTATTAAAATCGGTTCAGTAGATTCAGATATAAACTGTCCGCAATTTGAGAAAACGTTATTTTGAGAAAAACGCGTTTAAACTTATATATGTATCGTTAGAGGCCATCCATAAATTACCTAAAATTCTTTTTCAAATTGAAACCCCACCATTTTTTTTGTCAGACACTGTTACATACATTAGCACCAATGTTTCTACTGGTCGTAACAAAAAGCTGGACCCCACCATCCCCTTAAAGACTTACTTAATTTGTCAATGACTTTTTACATTAATTGAATATTTTTTGAAAAATTCACTTTTATTTTTTACAATTGGTTATAAATACTTTAGGAGGTGTTTTCTGAAGTCATAAGGAGTTAAAAAATACAATAAAAAAAAATAAATTTTTTTAAAATTCTAAAGTGTAGTAGTACCTTAAGTTGAGTTCATAGCGTCAAATCGATAGTGAGCGGGTTTACCCTGTGAGCGGGTTTCCCCAGTCTCCCCTAGTTATTTGAATAATTTATTAATGAAAACATTGATTAAACCCCAATTAAAGTATTCATGGTAGAATATTGTCGAAATAGTCTGAGGTGCGGGTAAGGTCGCCCAGGTAGAAATTGACGACCGGGATGATACCGGCCCGGTACAAACGGCTAGGTACTGGTCCAGTACCGGCATAAGTCTGTTCATTCCACCGGCGCAGTACCGGTAAATTGACGGATGATAACTTCGGTAGGTATCCGGCAACCGTACCGGGCCGGCACTAATAAATATCTGACGCAGTACCGGGCCGGCACTAAAAAACAACCAGTGTGGTACCGGGCCGGTTAAAAAAATTATATTTCAGTCTGATTAATTGTTTAATTATTATTATTATTATCAATGTTATTATTAATTTTAAATTGGAAACAGTAAATATATTAAATGCTGAAACAGAGAAACATAAACAATTATAGAAAAATCTGAAGACTCGAGGAATTGAACTCCGGACCCTGAGGCTGCAAAGTCGACACCACATCCGCTAACCTAAACCTCCATATGGAAAGCAAATGCAAAGTGAGCTTATAAAGTCCAACCGACATTCCACCTGGCAGCAGTACCGGGCCGGCACTTATATTCAACCGGTGCAGTACCGGGCCAGTATTTGTATTTCTAATTTATTTTAATTCAATTTAAATTATTAAAAATAAATAAATAAAAATAGTAATTATAAATAATAATAACCGCCCTATTCACCGGTTAAGTACCGGGCCGGCACCAATAAGCAACCTACTCGGTATTAATATAGTTGCCGGCACAACTAACTAATTAATTTATTATTAATAATTAAATTAATAAATTAATTAATAAATTAATTTTCAAATTTTTTTTCTTTTCTTTAATTCTTTTTCTGATAGTTTAACATTGGCAAACAACCGGGAGGACACTGGGTTAGTACTAATATTTTTGTCGGCAAAACTTCTTTGCCAGTAGAAAGCATTAACCCGTTGCCTGTTTGCGACCCAACGTTGGGTCGTGAAAAAAGATGGCCCAGACTGTTTGCGACCCAACGTTGGGTCGTGAAAGTTTTAGCAAAAAATAGAAATTTGTTATTTAAATTATAAAATAAATTCTTTTATATAATTATTCACATACTATATGTATCAATGATACTAGAAAAAGTAATAAATAAATAATTGTTTATTATTTTTAAGTAATATAACAATTTAAAAGATTTTGATGGATATTTTGGGGCACTAAAATGAATATTTTTCCAAACAGTGAAGGGGTTAAGTAAATTTTTGTGCTGGGCCGGTACAAATGTTATCACCGGAAAATATCCTTCGTCCGTATAAAAACAAAACCAAATAGTAGTACCGGGCCGGTGATACGCCAGTGCTGGGTCGGTACAAATATTATCACCGGCAAATCTCCGTCGGCAGTATAAAACAGAGCGAAATGACAGTACCGGGCCGGTGATACGCCGGTGCTGGGCCGGTACAAATATTATCACCGGCAAATCTCCTTCGGCGGTATAAACCAGAGCGAAATGACAGTACCGGGCCGGTGCTGGGCCGGTAAAAATATTATCACCGGCAAATTTCCTTCGGCGGTATAAAACAGAGCGAAATGACAGTACCGGGCCGGTGATACGCCGGTGCTGGGCCGGTACAAATATTATCACCGGCAAATCTCCTTGGGCGGTATAAAAAAAGAAGTAAATTATAGTACCGGGCCGGTGCTGGGCCAGATATTTTTAATCAACCGGCCCGGTACACACTACCAGTACCGGTAGAAATCCACATTTACCACCGAGCCGGTACTGGGCCGGTATTTATTTCATATCCGGCCCGGTACCTTTTTGCCGGTACCGGCATATGTCTTACTTTACAACCGGTTCGGTACCATGCCGGTCGTTAGTGCTGGCACACCTCCAACTTTTCTGCCTGGGCGACTAGATATGTATTTACAAACTTTTTTCGTTTTACAAATTATTTTTAGCATTTAAAATATTGTTTTCATAAAGAGTGCCTGTACCTAATGCTTACAAATGAAAACTAACATACTTTTAGTTTTCTTATATTATTGTAATTCCGAACCTAGGTAGCATCAATTGGTAGGAAACTTGATCAAAGTTTAATTGTGTTTCAAATATTTCTTCTCCATGTCTCAAAAACAAATTGGACTGGTTTCGAATTTGGAAAAATGTCGTTTAGTCTTTCAAAAAACTTATTTCTCCCCTTCCCCCCTTTATCTCTGTCTGATTTGTTTAGTAGATATTGGCTTATCGTAGACATTATCTTTTATTATTTCTTTCATTAAAAACTGACCAAACTTGATTTCTCCGCCCCGTGAAACTTAAACTCAAGGTTAAAAACGAGACTTTACGCATGCTGCTTTGAATTTTGTTCTGAAATTAACTTTCTCGTTAAACAGAACTTTTTTAAATTTTTCAGTGGACAGTAATATTTTTTTTTGTTAAATGTTGTTTATTATTACTTGAATGATTTTATAGACTGAACAAATTTCACAAAATCATTAAACTTGGTCAGTTCCAATTTTTAAATTTTTTAAAGAACAATTTCTATATTTTTTATTTAATTGTCATTGCATTAAATTTCTTCCAGTTTTAGAAATAAAAAAATGGTTGTCTTGTGTATATTTTTGTCTTTTCAAAACGGATTTATCTTTTTTTTTTCTTTTTTCTAAACTCAGTATTATAATTTTATTCGAACATTTTCAAATTCAACATGAAATCTAAAGAAAAAATCTTCCTCCTCGGTTCTGTTCCAGAAATCCCAGGCGCAGTACATTGGACGCTGAAAATCGATAGACCGACGGTGACTCGATAAATTTTAACGTTGGCGCACCATCGCGACTTTTCTTCTCACAAAAAATGAAAAAGACATTGCTAAACGACTATACCAATCGAGAAAACAAGAAAAGATCGTTTCAAGAGATTGTTTCCTCTCCGAATAACTCGGAAAACAAAAGAAGGTATTATATTGAATTCAATTTACCAAAATGAAATTTAATAAAAACAGAAAATAAATTTATAATAACTTAACACATTTTTCTATCAACGTAGTTAACGGACGTAAAGAGTGTTTAATTTTTTGAGAAAAAAGTCGATCTTAGAAATTGAAAAGATGTTCTTGACTTTAATGACATCCTTGCAGTAATCTCATTATAGAAAGCTCCCTTCACCAAAGGATGCTGTCTTATAATTCACCACTGTACATTTTTCATCATAAACTTGTATCCTTCGTGACCGGAAGTAGGAAATGTAACGGAAACTGTCGTACAATATTAAAAGTCAGTCATCCATTTCTTGTTGGGAAAAAGGTTCCTTTCATTTAGTAACAAAATATTCTAACAATTATACTTGATAGTATGCAAATCTCTCTGTAGAAAAATATTTTCCTAAGCAAAATTATTTTTTTTATATTTTAACCAATTTTTTAACATATTAAAAAACTATAATACAATATAATTAAAAATACTATTTACCAATTATTTCTTTATAATTATAACATAACACCATTTGGTATTCGATAAACTTAATTATCTGAAAGAGCTTAAATTTTTCGAAAGTGTGAAAATGCAGTTGTTGAGGCTCTTTGAAAAAATCTGAGAACTATAGAGCACTTTCTTTTGGGAATTGTGGCCCGAACCTGAAAAATAAATGGTTGAAAAAGAAATATACTGACCCATGACAAGGTCTTTGCCAGTACACTATATGAGACTGGTTTTCTCAAAGGGTCTGAAGTTTAAAGATAGTCTCAAAATTCCAGACAAAATTTTAGACAGGATGTGGTCCTTAGGTCAGTTTGCCACACACGGAAAAAAAAGTACGTGGATCCTTCCTTGAAAGTGCTTGACTTTTGGATAGGACACAAAATACAAGGCTGTATCATATACTTTTTATTAGAAAATATAGAAAAGTCCTAGAGTTGTTCTAGTACTAGTATGGGCAACATTGTTTTTTAAATTTTAACGAAAAGTCATTTGTTCAGTTTTATAAAGTACGTGAAAGATTAGTTGACTGCGCTTGAAAATTCTGTAGAGCATGCGCAGTGTGCGTTGCGCGTTTCTACCCAAGGTAAATGCCAGCTGATCGTCTGTTTCCATTTGTGTTAATTTCAGATGTGAATATACTATTATTTTATGAAAAACAAATAGTGTTAATATATATTTGTCTTCAAGAATTGACTTTCAAAAAAATATTTTTTATTTTGTGTTTCTCACAAAACAGAATGTTATGTAAGTCTCAGTTTTCAGTGAAATAGCATGTCTCAGAAGTCGTGAAAAATTTCACCATGTGGTATATAAGAACAATTCGATACGTACTTTTAAGTGTTAAGTGTGTGTTTATATTTAAGTTATACGCGAATATATGTGTGTGTTATAGGTTAGTTCATAAGTGTTGACGAACGTCGAAAAGTGATACAATAATTGTTCTTTGTTTGTGTGATTAATTATCAATATATGTGAATGAATGAGTGAATTTCAGAAAAACTGTGTGAACAAGTGGAAATTATTTTTTTTATTTTACAATTTTTTTGAAAGTCAATGAAATTCTCAAGCAAGGTACTACTATCCGCGAGAAAATGATAGGCCCCTGAAAAATGTTCGAATTTGACTTGAAATATCTCTGTTAAAAAAATTATTTGAAAAAAATGAGAAATATTTTTGGAAAGCGTGGAATCTTATATGTTTGTATACGAAAGGCCAATATTGGAAAAAAATTGTTGCACCGTACAGGTGCAGAATTACATCACAGTGTACCCCATTTTTCGACATTTTTAAAAATGGTCGACTTTGGTACAAGATTTTACACGGAAGCGATTATTCAAAAAATTCGAAAAAGGAACTATTTATTAACTGAATCTGTCCAAACGAATTTGCTTTATAATTATTAAAAAATCTTAATTATTATTGTATTTATTAACAATAATAGGAGACAATGTTATCTCTGGTTCTAATAGTCTAATTGAAATAAATCAAATTGGAAGTTGTAAATAATTAATCTTTTTATTATCTTAGCTGATTAAGAAAAACGAAATTCTTCTATTAATTACATTTTTCAACATTTATTTGGACAGTTTTTTTTTCTTGAGAACAAGTGTAAAACGGTTGCGAAAACCCAATTTTTTTCGACAAAATCTTAACCCTGTCATAAATAAAAATCTGGCATGCACTGTATAGCCTATGTGAAAAAAATTCTAAGCTTTGTTCTGAGTCCACATTTTGGAGAAGTTCGTAGTATTATTTATGACAGGGTTAAGATTTTGTCGAAAAAAATTTGGTTTTTGCAACCGTTTTACACTTGTTCTCAAGAGAAAAAAACTGTCCAAATAAATGTTGAAAAATGTAATTAATAGAAGAATTTCGTTTTTCTTAATCAGCTAAGATAATAAAAAGATTAATTATTTACAACTTCCAATTTGATTTATTTCAATTAGACTATTAGAACCAGAGATAACATTGTCTCCTATTATTGTTAATAAATACAATAATAATTAAGATTTTTTAATAATTATAAAGCAAATTCGTTTGGACAGATTCAGTTAATAAATAGTTCTTTTTTCGAATTTTTTGAATAATCGCTTCCGTGTAAAATCTTGTACCAAAGTCGACCATTTTTAAAAATGTCGAAAAATGGGGTACACTGTGATGTAATTCTGCACCTGTACGGTGCAACAATTTTTTTCCAATATTGGCCTTTCGTATACAAACATATAAGATTCCACGCTTTCCAAAAATATTTCTCATTTTTTTCAAATAATTTTTTTAACAGAGATATTTCAAGTCAAATTCGAACATTTTTCAGGGGCCTATCATTTTCTCGCGGATAGTAGAATATTTCATTGACTGCTTTTGAAACTCTCATGCAAAATGACTAGACTGTTTTTAGTATTTTGTGTCGTATCCAAAAGTCAAGTACCGAGTCAATGAAACTTTCACGTACTTTTTTTTCCGTGCACCATTCGTCTCTCCTATTTGGCGCTGAATTCTCTGTTCAATCTTTCCCATCTGTCCCCTATACAGCTCTACATTTCTTAACATTGCTATGTTATATATCTAATCATAATGTAGAGCCTCCATTCAATCAATGAAAATTAGAACCCAAATTTTCGTTTTTCACAAATTTCACTTGTCAGACATGTTTTTAATAATCGTGCTTCTCAAATTAACAAGTGATACATAATAGAAACATTTACATAATAGAACATTATCATGTTGACAATACAACATTCTGTAGTTTAATACCATGTGAACACATTAAGTAATTTAGAAATAGAAGATAGTGTAGACAAGTGTGAAATCAATCAATCGTTGATGTCTGTTATTAATTTAAAGATTTAAAATCAAGTAAGGAGAAAATACATAAATTTTTTAAATTTTACTATTTTAGTAGTATACACCTATTTTAAATTATCTACACTGAGAAAACTGGAGTATTGTACTAAACATCTGGAGGGACAAATCGTTCATATTTGAGAGTTAGCTATTGGATAACAACCCAGGCGCGAAGTGACGCCGAGTTCAGGCTTTATAAAGATTGGCCGAGCATTGGTCAACATTGATTGAGCATGAGTGAATCAGCGAGAGCAGGACTGATCGAAGCTTTAATGTAACACCGATTCCAGACTGCAGCGCGAGCCTTGATTCAGCATTGGACATCAATGCTCAATCAATGCTGCGGACGCCTAATGCAGGACTGAAACAAGACTGCTTCCACTGTTCCCAAATTTACTCGTTTCTCACGTTTATTCAATATAATGTGAATATATGAATTATTGATAATAATAATAAATATTATTGTTATTATTTTAATTCATGTGCGTATATATACATATATATTTAATGACGATAAGTTATTATTTGTAATAATTATATTATTTTCATATAAATAAGAATATATTACTAACAATAAATATCATTTGAATAGTAATTTTAAAAAAATAATTTTAGTAAAAAAAGACAATTTTTCTGTTAATCGTTACATTTTTTTCTTGATTTTTAACAGACTTTTAACATTATTTATAAACATGTTCACATTTTTTATTCACAACACAACACACAATTTTATTATTTTATATAAACGCTTATAACAAAGAATGAAAAATATTCGCTCGCATGTGGGATCGAAACTCACGCACCCCGCCTCTAACGCATACCGGAAGTTCTCAACGCACGCATTTAAACCGCTCGGCCACAGAAGGCTGGAAGGCTTCTCGCCTAATCTACTATATCAATGCCAGTGCCGTCACTCAACATGGGATACCAATGTTCGTCCCATGCTCGATTCAAGACTCGGTCAATCTTGATACAATATTCAGTTTCTTTATTACCGTGTGCACTGTACAATATTATCTATAAATATTTATAAATTATTTAATATTAAAATATTTTTTCTGATAATTTTATAAGTTAAATTATATATTATTTTTTTTCTCGCACAGTGTCAAATTATTATTTTCAAATTCAAGAGTTTCGTTTATCTGAAAAATTTTCAGTGAAAAAAATGTTCATTAGGTAGTGATAAATATTTATGCTTAGTAATTTTACACTAGGCATAAATATTTATTACTACCTAATGAACATTTTTTTCACTGAAAATTTTTCAGATAAACGAAACTCTTGAACTTTGAAATAATAATTTGACACTGTGCAAAAAAAAATAATATATAATAATTTAACTTTATTGATATGAATCTTATATAATTAATATAAATATTATACACTAAATAAATATTAATATTTATTTACCAATTGATATCTTAATAATAATAATAATAATACTTATTATATTATTTAATAATAATTAATAATAAGAATAATAATTTTTAAATAGTATAAAAAATTACTAAAAAATATCAGATAATAATATTTTAATATTAAATAATTTATAAATATTTATATCTAATATTGGTAAGTGCACACGGTAATAAATAAACTATCAAGATTGATTCAAGATTGAATAAAGACTG